TCTCTCTCTCTCTCTCTCTCCCTCTCTCTCTCCCTTTCTCTCTCTCTCTCTCTCTCTCTCTCTATCTCTCTCTCTCTCTCTCCCTGCTGCGAGATGAATAAAGATTGTCATTGTCATTGTCAGGCTGGTCCTAACGAACTCGAGTAATCCGTGTTATACTGTGTTTATGTTGCAAGTGCTGTAAAACTCTTTAACTAAAACTAATACGACACTCCTCTGACTTATGGTTGTTTCCCGCCCTCCCCACTCACCCAGGTACCAGATCATGCTGCAATGCTGGCAAGAGGAGCCCGAAGAGCGACCCTCCTTCGGCAAGCTGGTGGACGACATCACCACCATGATCGACCAGATAGAGCACCGTACGGGCGCGCACCGACGGAACATACAATCCACGTACGTGAACGTCAACGAGTGCAACCACTACCACTACCGCGACGAGGTGCCGGGGATGGGCGGGGCCGAACCCAGGCCCATTGTTGTTCGTCCCTCGGAGAGCGAGAAAGAGAACGATGACGTGTTTGAAGAAGGGCCGAAACCGAAGGAAGACACGACCTGCTGAAGGTCACAGACTTCTGTGGGGGGGGGGGATAATAATATGTCCATGAGGGGATTTTGAGAAGATTTGAGATTGCTTTATATTTCAGTTACATGGAATTTGATTTAGCTGTACAAAATTGGAGTTGTGCGGGTGTCAAACTTGTGGATGTGTAAGACATAGCTGCTTCCGAGCAGGGTCCGGATGAATTGATGAACAGTTTTGGTTTATAATCCATGAGAATAATCTGTGAAATTTTTCGGCTTTCCAGGAAGCATACAGTGCATGCTGTGGTTCACATGTGCTAAAACATTAACAAAGTAATACGATCTTTCGCTGTCTATAGCCGGGTACCCATACCCACCTGAGTGAAGTGAGGAAAATTCGTGTAAAGTGTCTTTCTCAAGGACACAACCTCAGACCCCTGACAGGATTCGAACCCATGATCTTACGGTTGAGAGTCCGAGAGCAGGACCACTACTAGACCACCGATACCACATCATGACCCACCAGTGAATTCAAAACTCGTCATATCAAAAGGGTTAATCATCTTATGGTGTTTCTATCATGTGGGAATAACCCGAACCTTAGCACAAACACAGGATACTTCTCAACACTCTCTCCAGCTCTACCGTAAGCTGACAAAACTCCTTTTTTTTTTTTCATTTTGGCGGCAAAATTATTTGCTAAATCAAAAGCCTGATCAGTTACCCTGCTTGTGTGGAAAAAATCAAAGTGAAACCGTGACTAGTTTTTGAATAAATCAGAATTCAAATTTCAGACGTACGCTATTTTTATATGGTTAGGCTGACATCCCCCCCCCCCCCCAAAACCCCTTCTTTTCTCTAAACTGCTGTGAATTTTTAAAAAGACGTTTTGTCAGCTAACAGCAGAGTTGCCCTCGCCAATGAACGGGTGACCTGTACAATCGTGGGTATGAATTCGGATTTGAGATAAAAGTCTTTCTACTCACTACGCTATCACGGCAGCTACAGCAAGAACTAGCCTGGCTTTTTCGAGTATTCTGTAATTACGTGAATGACTGATGATGATGATGGGGCGGGGGGGGGGGGGGATAAGTACGTTGCAAGCAGCAAACATGTTAGGGTGCCTCTTATTCCCAGCACGAAGTGAGTGTGACAGTTTTTCCCAACTCCCCCCCCCACTCCGCATCTTACTTGACTGTGTCTGATTTGCTGAACTGAGTGTGATATCAGAGTTGCCAAATTTTAACTTTTGATGTTAAGTTTCTTTTGATGTATATGGTACGAATGTTTGTTTGTGTTTGATTTGCTGTTCATTTTGTTTTGAGAGAAGTTTGACAAATCCGGGGGTTTCCCCCCTAGACATTGCTCCCTGGTGATGCTGTTGCTTGTTCAAATCTGATTGCATGCTGTGATCCCAGCGAAGGCTTGTGTTCATAATTCCTATGTCATTTTAAAGTGAAATGGGAACTCAGCCAGTTGCGTCAGTATTGTTGAGGGAGGAGTCAGGAAAAGGTTATCATTTTTTAAAAATCCCTCTGCTCTACGCAAGATGTGTTACAAGCATCATGTATATTTTGTTGGCTTTCTTTTGATTTTTTTAAACTGTAAAAATAGTTTGCGTTGATATCTGCTTCAGAACGTAATAGCAATAGCTTTGATATATGTATATATATATTTGTGTGTGTGTGTGTGTGGTACGTCATGTGCTCTGACAAACGCAAACTCCTTTTTGGAAAAGATTGATTTGTGTCCGCAAAAGGGGCTTCCTGTTTTGTTAACGTCGTATCGTAAGGGCGTGCAGCATCAGTATATCATCTCTATATATGTCCTTTTGTTTTGAATAGATTTTTAGTTCAGAATGAGAAGGAGCTGCATTTTTCATAACTTGTTTTGAAGATTTTAATTGATGTTTTATTTCTTTTTCAATTGTACAACTAATTTCACCGGTACTTATACGAAGACATATGTGCTGTGTAGTGTTTGTCTGTGGACACGGCTTGCTTATTTACGCTCTTAAATCATTATAAGCCCTTTTTGTTCACAAAGTTTATATCTCACAAATCCCGGATGGAACTAGATGTATATCAGGGGTCTCAAACTCGATGATAGTCGGGGGGCCAACTGAGGCCTGCAACATGATATTTTGCGCCCGTTACTCAACATTAAAAATAACTGTCCGCGCAGCCCACACATTTTTCTTCCAGGTGTTCGCACAGTTTTTTTGGGGTTTTTGTATCACTCGTGCGTAGTAGGCTTACTAAAGATTGAGAATATTAGATGAGTTGTCCTTTTTGAAAAATACTTGAAACTTTTGGAGTCCTTATAGCAGCCCAGGGGTTCAGCCCAGCGGAAATTTGATTTTTCAACCCCTGGTGTATATTTACTTTTCCATGCAGTGCGCTGTCTTTTCAGTTTTAAGCTCTTTTAGGATCGTTATACCCTTTTTATCTGAAAATGTCATATATATATATATACAATGGTATAGATTTATAATACTATGTTTAGTAGGACCAGCTTTTGTTCTGATAGTAGCCTGATCACTGTGCCAGTTGTATGTCAAGTTTGCTCAGAAAAGTTCATGTTCCTAAAATGTCGTGGTTTTTTTTGTCATCTTGCCGTTATTGGCCTCCTTTTTATTTTTGTTTCTGAAATCAGCATTTTTTGTACTGCTTGACTGTACGTTTTGATGTGTTCATTCTTTGGCTACGCACATACGATTTGTCTATGATCATTATTTTATGGAAAAGCTCAAGTTTTGGACCAAGAGAACATTTCGTTCTTTCTTTAGGTTTAAAGCTAACATGTGATGTGAGTGTTTTTGGGTTTTTTCCTCTCTATCTCTTCTGTAGTTTCCAAACAAAATGAACTGTATAGTCAGGCTATTGGGAAAATTGTTTTCTTTTTTCGTGAGTTGACAGACTCTATTAGGCTACTGGTGGATGTTGTACATGACTTTTGTAAGGCATCGTGGTGAAGTCAGGCGTTTGCCAAAATAATGAAATCAAAGAAATGTACATTTGTTCCGCCCAATTGGCAATTTCATCATTTTGTTAGTTTTGAGCCCAACACTTGCAGGAATTTTAAAAACAAAGAAACTACAGCTTTGGAAATCACCAAACTTTGACGACCATTTTCTCGCTAATTTTACCTCTTACATCACATGACCCCCACTTTCTTCAATCGTCAATATCGCAACTTCTATTCTAGATGGATGGGCATTTTTTTTCCAATTATAAACAAGAGAAATGAAGAGGCTTTAAAGATGGCAGCAATAACTCCATATGCCCCCAAACTGACCAGCGCCTGATTCCGCCACGGTGTAACAAATTTGTGCGAGGCTGCGTTGTTAAGCCAAGTACTGGTGTGTGTGACGTCTTGCCCGGCATCTGACTTGTGGAGTTTTATTCAAGGCATGTTGGTGTCTCTGTTGGTAGGCTATCCAGCTGGGCTACAGTGCAAATGATCTGAGTTCAAATCTCCAACATAGCCTTTTTAGACTTACATTTTTTGGGGGGTAGAGTTTTCAAATCAAGGCTCTCCTTTCACGTGTCTCGTTTCTGTCAGACTGAGATGGATGTTTATTTCCGAGGTCCCGTTACTTAAGTAAGCCCAAATGTTTTCTTTGGGGGCTTTAGATGAACTGGTATCATACCTCGCGCATATTTAGCAAACAGTAGGCCTACCGTGCATCACAGAAGGGTCTTCACATCTTCACACTTCACACTTATTCAACAGTGATATGCATAACAAGATGATTCTTTCACATCATCATACTTCACACTTATTCAACAGTGATATGCATAACAAGATGATTCTTTCACATCATCATACTTCACACTTATTCAACAGTGATTTGCATAACAAGATGATTCTTTCACATCAACATACTTCACACTTATTCAACAGTGGTGTGCATAACAAGACGGTTCTTTCACATCGAAATCAAATGTGCCCGGAGGTGGCTTTGTAATACAATCTATCGCAAATGTACTTCACTCACTCTGGACTACGTCAGATACACTCAGACATGACACCTGCTCCTTACTGCGTGGAAAACAACGTCGCGTTGATGCTCTTTTTTTCTCATTTTTCTTTGATTGTAAAGTATTTTTTAGATCTCCAGCCGAGAGGTACTTACTCATTATTGCTGCGCAATGCTGTCTTACACATTTGCGAAATGTGCTGACAAAATGAGTTACTTCTCAGACTCGAGCCCTATGGAAATCGGTACATCACGCTTATAGGTGAAGTTTTTACAATTTAGAAGTATGAAATAACAAAAGGCGTGTTATACTTAACCCTGTCCGTACGTCGTGTTTTATGCTGTCGTATCCATACGATGTGGGGAACTCTGTGCCACCATTTTCCAAAGAGGAAATTTACTCGTTAATCCGATCCGTCCGTACGCTTTGCATAGCCGTCTGTCAAAATGATTTTTTGAGAAATACTGAAAGTTTCATAGAGATCTTCGCTGTAGAAATACTCTAAAATGCGAAGAATACAACCCCGGGGGTACAAAATGACCCCAGGGCGTACGGATAGGGTTAAAGAATATGACATCAGTAGAAACTCTACAAATTTGAGCCTGGTGTCGATTTTTGGCCTATATCTCCATTTGTGGATTGCGAGAAGAAACTCATTTTGTCAGCACATCTCACATTTAATTTAGTTGATCCAAAAGATCACTGGAAGAGGTGGAGGTTTGTGATGGACTTTGATCTCTATATCAGGGTTGATGGCAAATGTAGCCAAGAGTATTGATGGATTTTATAACCTGGAAAAAGAAGACGGATGTTTTGGTTTGCACGTTTGACAGCACTCTGCTTATTATACTGGTTCTATATTTCTACAAGATTTACTCTTTACTGAATGTATTATCTGTAATGTTTTATGATTATCGGATGTCTTTTGTGTGGTATATTTTTAAACTTCTTTGAAACTTTTGCCTCGTAATTTTATCTGCGTTTTTGAATTTTTGCCTCGCAATTTTTTATCATTGTTTTTGTGTAGAATTATCAGATTTCTTTTGTTTCATTTCTTTTTCAGCTTCTTCGTAATTTTTGCCTGGCAATTTTATCATTGTTTTAGTGGGTAATTATCAGATATTTTTTTTGGTTTGTTCTTAAGTTTTGCCCAGTAATTTTATCATTGTTCTTGTGTTGTTTTACTCCATTTCTACTGTACATTGTGGTAGGAACAGATCTACGGTAGCTTCTGTATAGGGGGGTCCTTGTCTTGTTTCAGATACTGAGATCTTGTGCAGCCGTCTGAAGTACATATTGTCTGATCTTATTGATGTGTGTGTGTGTGAAGTTTTTGAGTGAAAGGACTAGTCTTTTGGACCGTTTT